CAAATTTACAATTTTAGGATTATGTCTAGTATTAGAGCATATCTATGACTTACTCTAGTCACTGAAAGCAAACAGCATTTTACAACTCGTTTTCAGGAGTTATGTATATCTACTCGACTCATCAGATCAACAAAGTTGTCTAGGTAACAAATCACAACAACTTTATTTTGAAGTTTTACACTGTTCCAGCTAGTCGTATCTGACGGTCTCAGGCAAGCGCACACCACCACGACGCGAACAGGCGACAACGATGCGAAGACGTTGTGTTCTGCGAAGATTTTAGTAGGACGGACGCTGACCTAGGTTTGAGTTCATGCAACGCAAGCGTCTTCAACGTTCCTCAAATCTTGAGGTACGAAATTTGGTTACAAGTGTTATCAGTTTCAAATTCTTTTGAACGGGCCTACAGTTTTCTCAGCTGGAATTGTAGCTGTTGTCACAAATGGGTTAGGAGAATCAAACACGAAGTGGTAGCTGGAGAAAACATCCTCTGCTACGACAACGGAATAATATGTGTGATTGATACTGTGTGCACGATGTGCTTGTGAGTATTTCAATGACTATATGTTGCTGTGTAGCCATATTTTGTATGCCTATGCCAAAGATTTCATTCTTAGACTTAAGTGTGCATCACTATAACAGTCATATTCATTTCAATATAGCGATTGTTGAACAGGGAACTGAATAATGGATTTGGTTTTCCGTGCAGTGCACAGCATGCAAAGTCCCACAGAGAATGAAGAACTGATGAAGATGTTCACTAATATGTATCACTCAATCCACAAAGTTAATGAATCTCGGACTGGTAATCTCATCGTTCATGCTTGGAATCATGCAAAGACATATGTCCTTGATTCATGTTTACAATGGATGATAGCTGAGATACTACATAGTCACGATCCGTTGTTCTAACTGATCGAAGTTATGATTTTAGATGACAAGATTTGTAGATCGCCAACGTAGATGATCTATGTCAAGTGATCAGAGGCCTACTCGAGTTAGACGGGAATGGTGTGACGAACCAGCTAACGTCGAAGTCACACCTCATGGTCAGCACCTTACGTGGACTACCCCATTGACGTATCAAGGTGCCATAGATGCTTTGAAGACTGTATAACACACAGGACATTATTACAGAAATATATTAGTTAAAGTAGATACAAGCGAAAGTAAGACCACTACGCATGGGTCAGTCCATGGTGTACGATTAACTGATGCGCGTTGGTAATACTTGACCTTGACAAGGATCGATGATTTGCTTGATATCCAAAGACTTAACTGCCGGATGATTTGGCTAGGGCTCAGTGAAATTTCGCTGACCCTGCAGATTCATCCATCAATTTATCCTTGCAGAGTAACAATACAGAAGGTGTACTGTTCAGGTTTACGTTGCTGTGTGGTTGTGAGGCATGGAGATGATTTTTCGCGTTTAATGTTAGTAGATAACGATTACCATGTTGGGTTTCATGTCCAGGTCGTTTACCAAATGCTGCGATCATTAACTTGACTTATTCAACTATTGGGTGGAATTTGACGCTATCGTACTACTTAGAAACCTTACATAAGTTACTTTTTACCGCTAGGCTTATCTTGTCAAGCTTCTGTCTCGGTATACACGAGCAACACTAAATATGTTTGAGATAAATATGTCTTATTGTAAGATGCATTATCCCATGACTTTTATGTTCAAGACCAGGGACATCACCTAAGCCTCTCTCTCTAAGTGGTTTGCTATCTGCAAATATACTCAGTATCTTCGTCATGAGCTTGTACCAACTGATCTATTTCTTTACACTTACTTCCTGTTGTTTCGGTACGATTCTGGGTATTCTGTTACGTGCTATGGGTGGTAGTCTAACTACTCGACTGCACTAATTCTAGTCAGTGTGACAGTTGTTTGCGGGTCTGTACATCTTGTAGTTGAGTGAGTGCATTTATCTTAGGAAAGTGGGGATTCTGGATACCAGCCGTTATCACATTTCCTGGCAGGAGGCTAGTTGGCTGCAATGTAAATTAACAAAATGATAATTTGAGTGTTGAGAGAAGAAAATTGTCTCAAAAATAAGTAAATAATTCACTTAATTTGTAATGTGTAGGAAGACGGAATTGAAAAATAATACAGGAAATAATGATAATAAGGGACATGGATATCAGTTACTGATATGAGGTGATGATATGCATGTTAATTTATCAAACATGCATCAGACAATGCTGGTACAAGAGGGAGATGGTGATTTACATGTGAGTGCCATTATCAGATCGCCTCTTGTTCTTCTGTAGCTCAATGAAAGTAATCTCAGGTGTTGGAGTTTGTCCTCGTAAAATTTATGTTTTAGACTGATCAGTCGTCTTTGTACTTGGTTTACGAGATTATCGTCTCGTTTGAACAGAATGGGAATGACAACACTGTGGACTTGAATGAAATTTCGCAACACTAAACTCTTCTTTCATATTCTCTTATCTGCTGTATATCCTTATCTTCTCCAAACCATGTGCCATCTGACCAGGATCTTGTAACGTAAACCATTAGTTAACTTGATAGCAGTGTGATATACTAAATGAAATTCTAACTCACAATACAAAGGCTTCAGCCATTCGGGTTTGCTTGAAACATGGAATTAGTAGGGTCAGTATGTTACAACAAGGTGTGCAACATGGAGCTTAGGTTGAAGCACAATTCATGCGTACCACAAACATTAAAAAGCCTGACATCGCGAAAGTAGTTAGGGTGACATCACTAACCGGCAGACGAGATGATGAAAGAGATAGCTCCAATCTACCCATGTTTGTAGGGAAGGACATTTTATTAAATTACGGTGTGGCGAGATGCAACTAGTCAATGGTATTGACTCTAATTTATTATGTCAAATACACTTTTGACTCGTTTCTTTAACCTTGAATTGGTTTCACTTCCTACCGAGGAGTCCTATTGCAAGCAAACCTGGGCAGTTACACTAACGCGAAGTCACTCATTACTCCACAAAGCTATAACAATAGAAATGAACGAAAATAGCTTTGACAAAACAAGAGAGAGGGAGTCATTTATGTATTCAAGTGCTGTTTTCTCTACTAGATTTCAAAAGTACACGTAATCCTAAACTTTCTACTTCTTTTTGAATTACATCCGTCTGTACGGTACATTGTCCTACAAACGCCATACTCAGACTTGTTTTCTTGAGCTTATTAAGATGCTCTTGCTAAAAATTTGACTTGATAAAAGAGAATAAATCTAAGTATTCATGCCCTAATTATTCCATCATAGATGACTGAACTCCGACTGTCGTGAGCATTGTCTGCTTTGCTTCTTTTCCTTTTTTGCTCTCGGTTTTTGCACCCTCGTGATATGCCACCGAAAACACATATGAAACATGTGACTTCGATTGAGGAGCACAATAGAAGCTCGCTCTGTTATCCACTTTTCTAGGAACAGATTTCCACATAAAATAGGCATCATCATATCCCGATGAGGACCAGGAAAGTCATGTATGACAACTTGCCTCTCAGCTACATTCACTGTTGCAATAGGTTTTAGTAACAACATCTTTTGTTCCGAGAGGCACTGCTAGCATAACGACACGCATCCATATCTACTACACATTTTAAAAGTTAATGTATTTGTTCTAAGCGAGTGTGTGGCAAGTGCGGCTCTTTGTGACACATTAAACATTCATGCTATGCAATCCGACGTCACTTCATTAACTTCAGTAAGGAACGCATGGCTTTGTAGATCACCAACGTAGATGATCTATGTCAAAATGATTGGGGCCTAATAAAGTTAGACGGGAATGGTGTGACCAACCGCTAACTTCGAACTCACACCTCAAGGTCAGAACCTAACGTGGATTACCCCTTCAACGTATCAAAATACCATGGCAATTTTGAATGTTGGCCAGACTTTGATAGATAGCAGTGTAACAAATGCTACAGACTGCTAGGAAAGAGCATCACTCCAGCTAAATCTTCCTGATAATTGTGAATGAGCTTCTAGACAAATCAGCTCATTAAATCTCTCATACACTGACGATGCCAAATAACGAAAACGAATCTCTTGAGCTAAAAATTGGCTTCACAATAATAAGAAAATAAGCCGTGGGCAGTAGATCAAAATCTAGTATCTCGAGATGCCATATCGTAAACATTCAACCTCATCGGACACAATTAACGCTCTACACATGTATTACTCTTGGCTAACCAGATTAAAACACCCTGTTTGGGCCTCATCGCTTTACCGCACGAGGTAATCCACAACGAATCGCACATTAGAGCCAATAATCAGATAAGATTACACCTCTCTTCACTAAGGGTTATCTCTGCCTGGAATGCTCTCCTTCAGTAGGTAACCTTAAGAATAGTTTTGACAGACACACACTCTCACCTTACGGTTCTTTGCTTGGAACAGCTCTGGCAGACGTATGCTCTTTGCCTTCCCATTGCCATCACTATTATTACCATTGTTACTAATCTTACTGCCATGACTATCGCTGTCATTACTGTCACTACAACTACCATCAGCCCATCCAGCTGATCCATGTTGTTTGCATAAACTTCATAATTTACTAATTCTTATAACCTCTCATGTTGCATCAAACCAGTTTTCTGCCTGTTGATGTGAAAGTTGCTGGTTTTAGCAACTCCAGTGTTCTAAAAACATTGACCCGTAACTAACTGTTAAACACATTAGTGTTAGCACATCCAAGTGGCTAGACATCCTACACTGAGCAATACCAAAGACCTGGGACCACACTGTAATATCAGAAAGTGAGTGGAAATGAATCGATTTGCCTACATAATTTCATCACAAACAGACGCGATAAAAACACAAAAAAACAGACAGGCTCGAAATAGAGATATTTAAAACCCATCAGATAGAGAAGCCGTGCAGAATGGACTGAATAATCTGAAGACCGATTACATACGAAAATCCAAATCCATTCCTAACCTCTTTTTTCTGGTTGCTAGTTTGATCTTAAATAATTCATGTGTATTGCGAATATTGAACAGACACATCTCAACTGAGCCTAAATTGAAATCACTGCTTCCTATACGATTGTGTGAGTTACTCGTTTAGGCTCGAAGCCATTTTGAGGTCTGAAGGTAAATGGTTTCTGGTACTTTAATTTGGTTTTGGTTTATATTTGCTTACTTCCATTTTTTGCAGCTGACTTTACTTTCGCACCCAATATCACCTTTAGTTGCCGGTAGAACACTGATTGCTTTACTACAGAATGGATGAAAATACTCCTCTAGTATCTGCCGGTAACTGTCCTTTGAAACAAAACTTTTAAAAAATAGATACCCATGTTGGACGCTCCGTTATCAAACCAGTCATTGAGCGAGCAGTTGCCAATGATGGAGATTCTCAAGCCACAGTGAACTGCCAAGTGTGCAGGCAAGTTATTACTTTCATCCCTCGTGAAAAGCAAATGGTGGTTCGATGTCCACACTGTTCTGAGGCGACGGTACTTACTTCCTCATCTAATGTATTTTCTAGCCTATCAAAGGTCCACCGACTGGGAAACAGTATGTTAGATGCCCATGCAATTGCTTACTTGTCTGCAATGAATCCACAAGCAAAGTTGGTTGTCCTCGCCCGGAATGTCAGAAAGTTATTGTTATTCGTGAAGTAAGTAGGTTACACTTCTTCCCTGGTTACTTTTCTTGAATTGCATATCTAATCGAGCTAAATTTGCTTATCGTTGGTGTCAGCGTAAACTCCATTGCAGTAGAAGTGTTTTATGTTGAGCGTTCTGACACTGTTGTAATAACGGCTAACAACGATAACGTTGTACCGTAGTACTAGTTAACTGCGGGTAAATGTTTGGTAAGATTTAGATCAATCCTCAAATAGATAATTGTGTGTACGTCGGGTAACGTCACTTTACATGGTATCTTTACGATCCGACTGCTCTGGCGAGACTCATCTGCACCTTTATATTTCTGAAAGTAGGGTCCTAGATGTAGTTATCAACAACGTAGTAATAGCATAAGTTGCCACACAATCAAAGCAACTAAAATACAGCAAAGTATTTGAAATATAAACAGTACTGGTGAAGATAAAAACTATGCGTAGGGAATATGGTGCTTAAAAAATTAATGTTACCTTCCAATTTTCGTTCTCATTTCTCCCCTTCGAACATCAGATTTTCATTCCTGTTAATGTTTTCACTATTTTCTCACACAATTATCTTCGTGGTATTGTGTTTTATGCCAATAGTTGTCTGAATGTTGTAAGGAGCTGCATGATGCTTTGCAAAACCGGACAGTCGCTTCAAATGGAACAAACCCATTTATTTTGTGGTTTTTTCAAGGCTTAGGGTTGAGCTTAGACATTCTCAACGTAGGGCTTAAAACATTGGTTAATTGGCTTATGTAACCACAACACGTTATTAAACTGAATGAAAAATATTAAGATTTCCCAGAGCGGTAGAGTTAGTAACAATATCAATAGGAGTAGAAAACATTAATATGGACAATGTAATTTGACAAGAAAAAATGAGTTTGTTATATAAAGAGACACTGAAGATTGTTTGAAGTTCAGCATCTAGCAGAAGATTGAAAGTGAGTGCATCTGCCTAACGTCATCAAAATATCACTGACTCGTAACTACTATGCTTCTATTGGTCGTTCACATGGCTATTTCGTGGGTCGAAACATCCTAAATATCCATCATGGTCATCAGCAAGCACCACAATATTTGTCAAACAACTATTGTTAGGACGAAACGTTGGAGTTATTTAAATTTCAATCGCTGAGATTATTTCAAATATAATTTTCATATATAATATTGTTAAGATAGTTTGTCAATTACTACTGAAAGCAATAACCCTTTGGGGCGTAAGAAGTAACCATGACAATCTCTAATATCAGCTATTTCCTTGCTGTGATTGGGCCACCTAATATAGCAACATGTAAAATACCTAGCTAATATTTACTTGTTTATCGATACTTCAACTTTGGTGTTTAGTTGTTCTCAAACCTCAAGAGGGTGGGAAAAATTGAAGCATGCTTTTTCAATGAATAGATGGAAAGTGGACTCGAAATATGTGACGGGGATCTATAAGGTGTTATAGATGTCACCTGCGTAATTGTCTAGAGCCTTAAGAAAGCCTACTTGATGTCCGAACTGCACCTGGTCACAGAGATTTAAGGGGGTGATTTTATGTGGTGCGCATATGTGTCATGCTTGTTCGAGTGTAGCATCTGGTAGCAGCAGGCTAGCGATAAATTTTTTGACTAAAATTAATTTAAGAAACACAAGTCATACAGGGACTTGGTGTGACAGTTTGTTTTTTAAGGAAGCAATCTATAATCTTGGTCGTCTTTAAAATAATTCTGGCTTTTGTTAAGACTTAATTAGTGGTTGTTTCGGTAGTTTGATTTCTAAATAGTAGCTACTTACTGGGACGTTCGGATTTCATAGTCATTTTACTTGGGTAACGTGCTCTAACTACCTGAACAGGATTAAGCGCATTTTATTATGTTATTTCACAAGACTTGTGTGTTGAGAGATCAAATATCCGTGTTAAATCAATGAAAACATCAAAATGTTTGTTCTAGTTTCATACAGGCGCATCATCTTGACCAGCACTATCACCAAACGTGAGTGAAAATGGCTCCTAACTAGGCAGATGACTACTTAATGGCTAACATCTCATCTTAAACCAGCGTATGGGTAGATTCTACATAAAGCTTTTCTATAGAATCGAATAATGAGTTGACCAGCTATTTACTTGCAATAAGAATTGTTAAAACCTTTCTAACTCATGCTGAAAGTGTCAAACAAACCAAATAAAAAACTTTATAAACAATGGCTAACGTAAAGAGGCGATTTTGACCCTGTTGCAGCTCGTTATCATATATAGTCTTCTGTGAATACAGTGATAAACACAATACCATCAAGTCAAGGTTGGGAGGAAACCATTCAGTTTTTTTTATTACTCATTCTAACTACTTGGTGTATGGTTGATCCCGAGTAATCATAACGTAGGTTTTCGTTTATTTTTCATATATCATTACTACATACTAGTTAATATTGTTTTTGTCCATTTTATTTCACTAAAGTACTTTTAAAGGACAATCTTATAGTTTTCGCTGTCTTCTGCTATATTGTTGTTTAGAATTAAAAAATAAAAGACCTAGAAGTAGTGGGTTTCAATCAAAGATCAACTGTCATCAGGTTTCAAAACTAAGGCATAACTACTGACACCCAACTGTGTTGACATTGTTTGTCAGGGAAGACTGCATTCTTGAAAATGGTCGAATCAAAACTTTGGGCTAACAGTTAACTTAAATAATCATACTAGTATCCATGAAAGCTGCTTGATTTCCAAATTTTCACCGAATCGTAGATATACTTACAAGTTATTCTCTCAGACGTTGACTCAGTGATTGATCTCCCGCTTGGAGATTCGTTTGTCAACTTCACCCGACCGTAGCTGCTACCTCGACGTGGTGGTTGGGCTTGCCTATCGTGATGACCCTACCGAGCCACATTGGCTGAAACATGTTCCTGTAGGTTCTAACATGCTAGGCAGGTAGATTAGAAAACGGTAAGACTAAAAGCAGCAACTCAAGGTCTGAGGTCAGTCAGTCAGCTGCAACATAGGACCAGGCACATATATGCATCGGTCCAAGTTGCCATACCGCATTAGCACAACAAGATAAACACCGGATTCATAGAAGTAGTCACATCAAAGGTAGTAGTATATAGAAGAAAGATTGCGTATATGGAGATAGTACAGGAAGAAAGAATTAGTTGGTAGGAAGAGAGAGATAAAGCAATTTTAATCTCACAGTTTAAGAGAAGACAGAGAGTGTATACACCTACACCATTGTGATCGATTCTGAGCCATGTCACCAAGAGTCTCCAACTACTGGTTACGATAGTCACGCAGACCCCAACCAAGTAGTCTGCATCTACCAACATGGCTAAGACTAGAAGTTAGTGACTTCAAGCACTGATGCCACGTTTCGGTTTGGCCGCCCCTAACTTTCTTCCAACTATTCTGAACACTAGTCAGCATTGCGCGTCGTGGTAATCGGTGTTCAGGGATACGTAACACGTGGCCCAACCATCTCAGTCGATAAAGATTCACAACCTAATCAACTGATTTACCATCATTCCCTAATACCCTGCGTCTAGCCTTACTATTACTTACCCGATGATCCCAGCGGATGCGAGCAACATTTCTAGGGCATCTGTGGTCAAATACTAGTAAGTTACGAGTATCTTCTACTCTTAATGGCGATGTTTCGCAGCCGTAAAGTAGAACAGAACGAACTGCCAAGCAGTATACTCATCCCTTAATTGATAGATGGATATCTCGCCTTCGCCATAGGTGACGTAAGTTGGTAAAAGTCAAACGAGCTTTCCGAATCTGTGTAGAGATTTCGTCAGACACTGACCCATTAGGGCTGATCAGACTTCCAAGATAAGTGAAGTTGTCAACGCGTTCGACTACTTCACTCCTGATCCTTAGTTCAGGTGTTGACGCAGACCAGTCCTGAAGCAACAGCTTGCATTTAGAGGGGGAGAAGCGCATCCCAAACATCCTGGCATTGTTGCTCAGTGCTACCAACAGACACTGGATTTTATCAGTGTCTTCACCAAACAGGACTATATCATCTGCGTATTCTAAGTCGATAAGTGAACCTCCTGGTAGGAGATCAATGCCCGGAAATCCAGTCGATGAGAGCGTTATTTCCATCAGTATGTCTATGATGAAGTTAAACGAAAATAGAGAAAGTGGACAGCCTTGCCAGACACCACTTGAGGTTGCAAAAGCAGATGAAAGTTCGCCGTAAGCTCTCACCCGACTAGTAGTGTTCGAGTAAAGAGCCTTCACATGGTTTATGTACTTCTGAGGTACGCCTTTCAATGACAGACACTGCCACAGAACCTCTCGGTCTACAGAGTCAAATGCTGCTTTTAAGTCAAGGAAGACCACCACTGTCGGACGCCGATAAGTATGCCTGTGTTCTAGAACCTGACGAATGGTGAATATGTGGTCGATGCAGCCACGACCAGGTCTGAAGCCAACCTGATTGTCTCGTGTTTGCAGTTCACGAGTCTTTGTTAAACGTCCGACAATTATTGAGGCTAGTATTTTAGATGCTGTATTGGTCAAACTAATCTCTCTATGGTTGTCACAGGATGATTTGGACCGCTTCTTATATATTGGGATAATCAGTGACTGCGACCAGTCAGATGGAATTACATTCAGTTCCCAGAGTTAGCTAAAATATTAGTCAATCTAATCGCTAAAACTGGACCATCATACTTAAGGACCTCTGGAGCCAATCCATCTGGACTAGCTACCCTTTCTCGTTTCAGACTACCTATAGTTTTTTTTGAACTTCAATCAGAGTCGGAGGGCTTACTTCAATGTTTCATTCAGGCTGTCTGGGAATGGTGGGTAGTTGTAGAGTAGCTGAAGGCCAGCTGAAGTGCTTCTTAAAGTGTTACGATCATCGTTCTAAACGTCTGGACTGGGAGCAGATTAGAGTGTCGTATTTTTCCGAGATAGTCTCACTTACACTTGACTGTTTAATTCCAGTTTCTTTTATGAGTCCGAAGAGCTGTCTGGTGTTATCTATAGCCGTCGCCTTTTCCATCTCTTTTGC